AGACATGGGAAGACGGGGGGGATCCTGCTGTTTGTGTCTATTCACTTGTGTGCCCCAGGGCTCTTTCAAAGACTCAGACCCCCATCGCGTTGTGAAAAAAGCGCGACGGATGGACGTTCGCAGTTTTTAGCCTCCGGGGGCCCTCACAGGGCCTCGGGACCGTCAACAAGAACGAGTCAGGACGAGAAGCCGGTCCCGGGGAAGGGTTCCAGAACGTCTGGGGTCGACGCTCTGAGAGAATCATGACGTCGGGGTTCGGGTTGGCCGTCGGGGTGGCCAAGAGGGGAGTGGACATCATGACCAGGGCCACGCTGTCTCCCCAGATGTCATGGCCCCTCTTCTTATGTCAATGCTTCCCTTGCCCCCCGACCCCCCCCCTGGGCCACGCGCATGCCTCGGGCCATGGTTCGCGGGCACCTCTCTCGAACGCCCCAGTTTTGGACGCCCCCGAGGCTAGCACCTCATCTGCCCCCTCCTCGGTCCTGCAGGAACATCGCTGGGGGGGGGGGGACAGGCTCATGGGTGGATGTAGGTCCAGGGGTGGACGGATGGTCAAGGTTGGAGTGTTTCGGGCGGTTTCGTCGGTTCCCCGCTGCTCTCCAGCCTCGAGGTGCCTTCCAGCGGCTGCGCCTCACCAGCAGCGTTTTTGGGGGGTCCCGACGCGTCCCGAACAGCCGTCGGATGCCTGGCACAAGTTGTGACCCGATCACCCACTCATCTTCGCGTTGTGAAAAAAACACGACGAGAGGATTTTCGTTCCAGTCTCCAGGGGCCCTGACTGGGCGTCGGGACCGTAGAAAAAACGCTCTGGATGAAAAAACGGCTGGGGAAGGGGTCGAGACCTCTGGGGGTCGACGCTGTGGAAAGAATCACGACGTCGTGAGGAGGAGGGGTTGGGGTCATGGCCCACCCGCCCAGGAACGCGCGCACTCGCCATCGGGGGGGCCATCGCCGATCCATCGACGATGTATCGCCGACTCCAGCTCGATGGTTCCCCCCCTGACCCGCCCCCCTTGGCATCGCTCGGGCGTGTGCATGTTTCCTTCGGCGAGGACCGAGGAGCATCCTCGATCATTTGGCGAGAAAAAACACACAAAAAAACAAACAAACAAAAAAAAAAAAAAACGCACGAAACCGACAAAAACACAGGAACTGGACGTCCGAGCGATGGCCAAGCGTCTTTCCCCTCCTCGGTCCTCCTCTGCCCCCCCCCCCCTCGGTGCTGCTCCGCCGCCGCCGCTACCTCCTCTCTCGACCCGGTGCCACACCGGGTCGAGCCCGCTCGATCCGGTTCGACTCCGGCACTCGGACGATCCGCTGCGACCCGAGAGGTGCCACGGTGTTGTCGTGCAGACTGCCGCGGCGGATCGCGCCACGGCTGCCCAGAGCGGGCCACACTGGAGGACGCCGCGGCGTGCCCGCGCGATGGCGGGGCGAGGCCGAGGGCCGCGCCGCCGCCAGGGTCCCGCGCGAGGGCGGGGGCCCGCGTCGCGCGGAGGTGCCGCATATGGCAGCGGAGGAGAGCTTCCGCCCCTTCGCCCGCTGAATCGGGGGCCATCAAGGTCCCGGGAGTGGCTCGGGCCCCCTGCGCAGCGGGGCCCCCCGTATCCGCCACCCAGTGCTTGTGCGTCGCCCCCCGTGCTCTTGCTACCGCCGTCACACCGCTTATAGGGCCACTCGCGGATGCGCCCACGCCTGCCAACACGAATGTGCATCTTCTCACGCTGCCCGATGCTTGTGGCCAGTTGGGCCCATGCGTTCGGCCGACTTTGAACACCACCCTAAGGCATCAAGTTCCCGTGAGAGGCTCGGGCCCTTGCGCAACAGGGCCCCCGTCTCCGCCACTCGTCAAGGAGGCATCTACGCCACCCCATATTTTACCACCATCGCACTGCTGATAGGTCCTGTCGAGGGTCGCCCTACCGCAAGAGTTTTTCTCCACGAAGCAAGCAGGAGGCCCTGTCCGGCAAGCCCGATCGGATGATGAGCGGACTCGGAGTCCGTAGCGGCCAGGCTCGAGTTCGCGGCACCCACGGCGCGCCCGCGACGCTTCCGCGTCTGGGGAGCCACAAAGATACCAACGCTGCTGCGCCGCAGACCTCTCCAGAAGCGTTTTCTGGCCAGGGCCTCGAGACGAATCCAGCCGCGGCGTCGAGGGCAGGGCAGCGGCATTGGCGCCCTTTTTTTTCTTCCTTCGGCCTCAAGAGTGGGGTCCGAGTAGCTGGGGTCGGAGGATCGCGCCGCATCGCCGATGCATCGGCGACGCGGCTCGATGTGGAGCCCGAGTTCTGCACCCCGACGCACCGACGAGGCGGCGCGATCCTCCGACCCCAGCTGCTCCGACCCCGTGTGGGGCGCCGTTCTTGCTCCTCCTCCTCCTCTCGGCCTCGCCCCCGTGCGCCGCGGCCCGATGGCGCGCCTCCCCACCCGGGGCCTGGTGTGCACAGCGCCGCCCAGAAGCGGCGCGGACGCGCGGGCCCGCGGCGGCGGCACGGCGCCGGCGCCGTCCGGGCCCGCGGCGGCGCGCAGGCCTGCCTCGGCGGGGGCGCTGCGGCCGAGCCGCAGCTTGGGCACCCGGCTCGCGGCGGCCACCGCGGCCGCGGCCCCGGCCCTCGACGGGGCAGCCGAGGATCTCTAGGCCTCTCCATCGGGGTCCGAGTGTAGATGGCTGGCATCGCTCGGACGTGTGCGTTTTTCCTCGGCGAGGACCATCGAGGAGCATCCTTGATCATTTGGCGAAAAAACCCGCACGAAACCGGGAAAAACACACAGGAAATGGACGTCCGAGCGATGGCCAGGATGGGGTCGACGGATCACTCCGCAGTGCCGGTGCATCGGCGATGCGGCTCGGTGTGGGGCCCGATGCTCTGCACGCCGACGTCGCCGATGCGTCGGCGATGTATCGCCAATGCGGTGCGATCCCCCGACCCCATCCGGGACCCAGACCCCCGACGTAATGGTTTTTCAGTACGTCGACCCCCAGAGGTCCCGACCCGTTCCCCATGTCCGGCTTTGCATCCTGAATCGTTTTTTCGGACGCCCCGAGGCCCGGTGAGGGCCCCCGGAGGCCGAAAGTTCAGAGCAACCTCCCGTCCTGATTTTGTTCATTCCTCGAGGGGGTCTGGGGGCGCCACTCGACTCGGGTCGAACACAGCGCCTCCCCCTTGAGGCCTCCGACGTCGTTATTTTTTCAACGCGCGGTCGCCAGAAGTCTCGACCCATTCCCCAGGATTGGGTTTTCATCCCGAGTCATGCTTTGGCGCGCCCGAGGCCCGGTGAGGGCCCCCGGAGGCCGAAAGTTCAGAACAACCTCCCGTCCTGATTTTGTTCATCCTCGAGGGGGTCTGGGGGCGCCAGTTCAGAACAACCTCTCGTCCTGATTTTTTCATTCCTCGAGGGGGTCCTTCATGGGTCGAACACAGCGAAACCACTCCAGCATGAAAGCTGACGGAGCTCCGTGCGGAGTGGTCGGATTGGCGCGAGCCACCCCCCTGGGCGGCGGCGCCTCTGGCGCCCCCCGGCGCGGGGAGGGGGGTCCAGCGCGGATCCGAGGCGGTAGGCTCGCGTCGTGTCGACCAGCGGCGACCCCGCCAGCGGGGTTCAACTTGGAAAGCCGCGGGCGATCCAGAATCGTTCGATGTGGAACGATTTGGACGTTTCGGAAACGGCCGATCGTTAAAGGTTGAACGATCCCCGCAGTGTCAGAGACCAACGTCGGGGTCGACACGACGCGAACCAGCCGTATGTGTGTGTGCTGCTGTTTGTTCCTCGGTATCGTTGAACCGACCCCCATCCCCACCCCTATCCTTCAGTCGGGCCTGTCCCTCTACAGGGGGAACACTCAAAAATAGTCAAAAAATTGTCTGGGGACCATTGTTTGACAATGTTCGAGCATTGTTTGAGCATTTCTATGGTATTTTTAATTCTTCGTCCAAAATCTTCCTGTAGGGGGACAGGCCCGACCTAACCCTATCCTTTCGAGACCCCCGCTAAATTACCACCCCAGATGGGGATACACCCCTCGAAACCCGAAGGGGACGGCCTATATCCCCATCTAGGGGGGTAAATCGGCCAGTGGGGCCCAGGCCACGCCGTTGGGGATGGGGATCAGTCAAACGATATTCAGTTTCCCAACAGGAGAGGCTGATGGCTGCCTCGTCCCAGCACCGGCACAAGGTGTCGTCGCTCCTGGCGTCCCAGAACCGCCTCCGCTGCGAGAACGCCGAGCTGCGCAGCCGCGACGAGGCCTGGCGCCGGGAGCCCGTGGGGCGCGGGGCGGCCATGGCGAGGGCGGAGGCGGAGTTGAGGCGGCGGGAAGTGCAGATCCAGGCGCTGCGCGAGCACAGGAGGAGCCAGCACATCATCAGCAGCAGCAGCAGCATCGTAATCATCACCATCACCACCACCACAACTATCATCATCATCATCATCATCATCATCATCATCATCATCATCAGCAGCAGCAGCAGCATCATCATCATCATCGTCATCATCATCATCATCATCATCATCATCATCATCATCATCAGCATCATCATCATCATCTTCATCTTCATCTTCATTTTCATCTTCATCTTCAGTAGCAGTAACAGCAGCAGCAGCAGCATCAGCATCAGCATCAGCATCATCAGCATCAGCATCAGCATCATCAGCAGCAGCATCATCGTCGTCATCATCGTCGTCGTTATCATCATCAGCATCAGCAGCAGCACCACCATCATTGCAGATCCAGGCGCTGCACGAGCACCTGGGCAGCCAGCACGCCCGCAAGGTCGTGGTGGAGGCGCTGAACGCCGGCCCCAAGCGCATGCGCGCGACCACGCGCGAGGAGCTGCGATGGCTGCTGGAGGACGGCCACGCGGAGCTGCGGACGCTCCGCGAGGAGCTCGCCCGGCTGGAGGCCGCCAGGGCCGCGGACGCCGCGGGCGCCGCGGGCGAGCCCGCCGCCGGCGCGGGCAGGGGCGCGCTCGGGCGGCCGAAGGAGATAGCGGACCTCAAGCGGGAGGTTCGAGCGGCAAGAAGCGGCACGAGGTCTGTGGATGTCCACGGCCGCTGCCCAGGCCCAGCTTGGGCCCAGGAAGGGCGGGGCCAGCGGCGGTGGGCACTGCAGCGATCTCTCAAGCAGTGGCGAAGCGTCCTGGCTCGCCTATAGCCCTGCCAAACAATGTTCTAAGAGCCTTTTGTGGTTTCCAGGAAATGTTCTTAGAGCATTTCTGGCTGGGACTGTCTAATGTTAACGCATCGGGTTTATGTTCTAAGAACATTGTTCTTGTTCTTAGAACATTTTGGGGTTCTAACAACATTTCGTGGTAGGATTATAGAAATGCCGGGACGGCCTGTCCCTGCTCAAATCTCGTCGCCCGAAGTCGGGGGCGGCACGAGCGTGAACTGCCAGTCCGCGCGGATCCCTGGGCTCGGCGCAGAGCTTGCCCGGCGCCCTCCACGCGCCAGGGCCCCAGCGCCGATGCAAGAGATCCGCGCGGGCCTCCGAAGGGTTCTGCTTGTGATGCCCACTGCCCTTCTGGAGAGGTGGAGTCCGCGAAGCAGCGGGTCGTGGAGCTGGAGCAGGTCCGCGAGGCCCACCGCGTGGACGTCCTGAGCCTGGAGCGCGCGCTGCGCGCTGGCCTCGCGCTCACCGAGCCCGAGCCCGAGGGGCCGGCGCTGCCCTGGGCCGGCGCAGCTTTGCTGGGCGGCGAGCCAGACGACGGGCTGCGCCAGCGGATGCTGCGCCTGGACGGGGAGCTGTTGGAGCTCCAGAAGGCGAAGGTCGACCGCGAGCGCGAGGTCGTGCGCAGAGACGAGGCCTTGGCAGCGCTCGGCAGGGAGCTGGTGGCCGCGCAGGGCCGGGCGAGCGTCCAGCGCGAGCGGTGCGCCAAGGCCCAGCACGAGGAGGCCGTGGCCTTCCAGGCGGAGCTCATGCGCGAGCGGAAGCGCCTGTTCGACGTCGAGAGGGAGATCGGCAGCCTGAAGAGCAGGGCCAGCGCGCTGCGGGAGCAGCAGGGGGAAGCGGCGGAGGAGGCGGAGCGGAAGCTCAAGGAGCAGGAGGCCCGCGCCCCAGAGCGAGAGCAGAAGCGGAGGGACGAGGCGGAGGCGCAGCTCCGGGCGGAGGACAGGAGCCTCGACGCGGAGGGCAAGGCCGCGCTGGAGGCCGCGGCGCGCGCGGAGGAGCGGCTGCGCACGGCCCTGGAGGCGGCGCGCAGGGAGCTCGAGGAGGGCAAGGGCGAGGCCGAGGGCGCGGCGGCCCGCGCCGCCGGGGAGGAGGCCGAGGCTCGCCGGCGGAGGTCGGCGGCCGAGGGGCTGCGCGAGGAGAACGCGCAGGAGCGGCGGGCGCAGGACGAGCTGCGGGAGGTCTCGGCCGCGCTGCGGGAGCAGGAGGCCCTGCTGCGCGGCGGGGTGCTGGGCGTGCAGGTTCAAGAGGGAAAAAAGCCCAAGACACAATTCATCGACGATCCCCAGGAAGATATGGGAAAATATGGGAAGTGGGGGGGGGAAGACAAAAACCCAGAAAATATGCGAAAAGATTGGGAATCTTTTTATTTGTGTGTATTTATTTGTGTGTCCCAGGGCCCCTTCACAGGTGGCCGACCGCGCCACGCCGTTGGAGATCCTGGCGGAGGCGGCGGCGGAGCGGGAGCAGGCCGAGCGGCGGGCCGCGCAGGCGGCGGAGGAGCTGCGCCAGGCGCGGGCCGACGTGGGGGCCTTGAGGGAGGCGGCCGAGATCAGGGAGGCGGCCGCGGGGGAGAGGAGGGCGATGCACGAGGAGATCCGCAGGGTCCGGAGGCAGCGGAGGGAGGCCGGCAGGAAGTTGCAGCGCGACGCCGTCGTCCAGGACGCCGTGGCGGAGCGAGAGGCGGTGGCGCGGGAGGCCGCAAGGGTCCGCTCCCACATCGAGAGGCTGGATCGCGGCGAAGACGTGCAGCGCTTTGGTGCCGTCGATGCTGCTGCGGAGCCACCGGGCGACCAGGCGCAGGGCGGCGGCGGCGTGACCGAGGCCGACGAGTCGGAGGAGCTGCAGGCTCTGCGCCGAAGGGCCGAGCAGCTCGAGCTGGACTGCTCGCGACTGCGTGTGCGCTGCTCCGCGCTGGACTCGAGGCAGAGGGCCGCGGTGGAGCTCCAGGGCTCGCTGGCGGGCAAGCGCGGCCTGCGTCGCGTCTGCTTGAAGTGGCTGCTGCAGCAGCTGGGCCGCCCGCTGGAGGCAGATGGGGACGAGCAGTACCAGAGCCACCTGCCCGCCCCTCTCCTGGCAGAGACGAGCCATGGCCCCAGCAGCGCCGCGCTCCTGCCCGCGCCGGCGGAACCGGACCACGGCGCGGCCGACCAGGAAGGCCGAGGCCTTTTAGAGGGTCCGCCCGTGCCAGCAGAGACGGACCAGGGCGCCGACGACCTGTGCGGCGCAGGCTCCTTGGAGGGCTTGCAGGTCGCGCAGGCAGGGACAACCCACGGAGCCGCCGAACTGCTGGAGGAAGCGCTGAGACCTGCAGCGACGGACCAAGGCGCCGCCGACCCAGACGGCCCAGGCTCCGAGGGCCTTCTCGCGCCTGCCAGGACGGACCAGCGCGCCGCTGACCCAGACGCCCTGAGCACCTCCGAGGGTCCGCCGGTGCCGGCAGGCACGGACCATGGCGCTTCCGACCTTCACGGCATTGGTTCCCTGGAGGGCTTGCAAGTAGTGCGGACAGAAACACCCCACGAAACCGCAGGCCCAGCTGGCACGGGCATGTTGGAGGGCCCGCCCAGGCCGGAGGGTCCGCCCGTGCCAGCAGGGACGGACCAGGGCGCCGCCGACCCTCACGGCGCTGGCTCCCTGGAGGGCTTGCAAGCAGTGCAGGTAGAGACAGTCCACGGGGCCGCCGACGCAGACGGCCCAGGCCCCGAGAGCCTGCTCGTGCCTGCAGAGACGGATCCTGGCGCCGCTGACCACGACGCCCTGGGGGCCTCGGAGGGTCCGCCGGTGCCAGCAGGGACGGACCAGGGCGCCGCCGACCCTCACGGCGCTGGCTCCCTGGAGGGCTTGCAAGTAGTTCGGACAGAGACACCCCACGGAGCCGCAGGCCCAGACGGCACGGTCACGCTGGAGGGCCCGTCTGGACCGGCAGGGACAGACCACGGCGCCGCCGACCCAGACGGCCAAGGCTCCGAGGGCCTACCAGCGCCGACAGAGGCAGACCCGGGCGCCGCCGACGCTGACGGACGCAGAAGTTTGGAGGGTCCGCCCGTGCCAGCGGGGAGGGACCAGGGCGCCGACGACCCAGAGGGCTTGCAAGCAGTGCAGGTAGAGACACCCCACGAAGCCGCCGTCTCAGACGGCCCAGGCCCCGAGGGCCCGCCCCGGCCTGCAGAGACAGATCCTGGCGGCGCTGACCCAGAGCCCCCGGGTATTTTGGATGGTCCGCCTGTGCTAGCTGGGACGGACCAGGGCGCCGCCGACCCTCACGGCACTGGCTCCCTGGAGGGCTTGCAAGTTGCACGGGCAGGGACACCCCATGGAGCCGCCGACCAAGACGGCACGGCCACGCTGGAGGGCCCGCCCCGATTGGCAGGGGCAGACCACGGTGCCGCCGACCCAGACGGCCCGGGCTCCGAGGGCATGGCAGCGCCGACAGAGGCGGGCCTTGGCGACACCGACCTGGACGGCCGCAGCAGCTCGAAGGGCCCGCCCGTGCCAGCAGGGACGAACCGGGGCGCCGCCGACCCTCGCGACGCTGGCTCGCTGGAGGGGTTGCACGAGACCCCCCCCGGAGCCGCCGACTTGGACGGCCCGGGCGCGTCGGAGGGCCCGCCTGGACCAGCAGGGACAGCCCACGGTGCCGCCGACCCGGACGGCCAGGGCTCCGAGGGCCTGGCAGCGCAGACAGAGACGGACCCTGGCGCCGCCGTCATGGACGGCCCCAGCAGTTTGGAGGGACCGGCAGGGACGAATCAGGACGCCGCCAGCCCGCACGGCATTGGCTCCCTGGAGGGTTTGCAAGTGGTGCAGGCAGAGACGCTCCCCGAGCCCTGATTCGGACAGCAGGGGCACGTTGGAGGACCCGCCCGGACCTGCAGGGACAGATCAGGCCGCCGCCGAATATGGGGTCGGGCGGCCTGGACGCCGGCACGGGTGAGGGAAAAAGCGGTGCATGTATCAAGGACGCTTCAGGCGAATTGTTGCCACCCCTTGCCTTCTGGCCAAACTTTGGGCCAGAGTTCGCCCAATGGATTGGGCTATGTGTTGCCCCAGTCTTTGTGGAAATTTTTCGGGGGAACACTAGGGGGTGAAGAAGGGAGATGAGGGGAGGAGGGAGGACGAGGAGAAGGAGGAGGCTGATCGAAATCCTCTTAGGGCTGTTTTGGAAGACTCTTGGGCTATCTTCAGGTCCCTGGAGGCCGTCTTGGAGGCATCTCGGACCACCTTGGTGGGCCCTTCGTGAGCCGTCTTGGGGCCCTCTGGGGCCTTGGAGCCGTCGTGGACCAACTTGGTCGCATTTGGGATCGTCTCAGGCCATCTTGGAGGTCTATCTTCTGGCCATCTTGGGCCGAGTTGCTGGCGACAAGGACTCATTGGAAAGTTTGGAGCTGCGTTAGGCGCAGCGTTCGTTGGAGACCCTCGTTAGCGCGCCTGCCTGGGCGCTTCCGCGGGGCCAGCGGGTTGCGCAGAGATCCACTGGAAATCCGCTGGAAGGGCCAAAGCACCCTCGTGGCAAGCACAAGGGGCGGCGGACACAGAGCAACCCTCGGCCCGTCCCGCCACTGCGCCAAGGTCGTGGGCCATGGATCGTTCAGAGGCCTCCTGGGGGATCTTTCGGAGGTCTTTTAAGGGAGGCATCGGGAGCCTCCTGGAAGCCTCTTGAGACCTCGTGGGGGATCTTTCAGAGGTCTCGTGGGGGATCTTTCGGAGGCCTCTTGGGGGATCTCGTGGGGGAGGCCTCTTGGGGGATCTTTCAGAGGCCTCTCGGGGGGATCTTTCGGAGGCCTTTTCAGGGAGGCATCGGGAGCCTCCTGGAAGCCTCTTGAGACCTCCCGGGGACCCCTCGGGTGAGCCCCTCCTCCCCCCTCCTCCTCTCCTCGCACCTCCTCACCCTCACTCCTCCTCTGACAGCTCCTCCTCCTCTGACGACGACGACGACGACAACGACGACGACGACAGAGACGACGACGACGAGGACGACCTTGGCGACCTAGACCTAGACCTAGACCTGTAGAAGACGACGACGACGACGACCTAGACGACAACGCCGACGACGACGACTTAGACTTAGACGACGACGACGACCCAGACGACGACGACGACGACGACCTAAAAGACGACCTGGACGACGACGAGGACGACCTTGACGATTTCGATCTAGACCTAGACCTAGACCTCTAGACGACGACGAGGACGACGACCTAGACGACGACATCAGCGACGATGATGACGACGACAACGACGACCTAGACGACGACGACGACCTAGACGACGACAACAGCGACGATGATGACGACGACAACGACGACCTAGACGACAACGACGACGACGACCTAGACGACGACGACGAGGACGATGACGTAGACGACGACGACGATGACGCCGACAACAACGACGACGACGACGACGACCTAGATGACAACGAAGACGACGACGACGACGACGGCAACGACGACGACGACTGCCCAGACGACGACGAGGACAACCTGGACGACCGTGACAACGACCTAGACGACGACGACGACGACGACGACGACGACGACCTAGACGACGACGACCACGACCTCGACTACAACCACGACCACGACCATCACGACCACGACGATGACGATCACAACGACTGAATGACGACGACGACGACGAGGGCGATCTAGACGACGACGACGACCTAGACGACGACGACGGAAACCTAGACGACGACGACGACGAGGGCGACGACGACGGCGACCTAGACGACAACGACGACGACGACGAGGAGGACAACCTAGACTGCGAAGTCCTACACCTAGACCTAGACAGAGACGAAGACCTAGACGATGACAAAAATTCTAGACGCTTCGCGTATCCCCACCAGCCCGTCCAGAAACGACGCCCAGGCGAGTAGAGGGTCGTCCTGAGGGGCTTTTCGGCGTCTTGGGTGCCTGGGGGAGGGGTAAACCCCTCCCCGAAGGGGAAGGGGGAGGGGTGGAAGAGGAAACGCTCTAAACCACCGACGCCCAGAGGACTGGTGGGATTCCATTGGTCCCCAACTTCGGGACCTCCAGAGGCTGCGTGCCTTTTCGGGGGGTGTTCGAGGGGGCGGGGCGGGGTCCCTCGTGAACCGCGAGCCCCGCCTGACGGTTTTCAGGAGGGAACAAAAACACACAGACACAATTAATCGTCATGCCCCAGGAACATATGGGAAAATATGGGAAATGGGGGGAAGACAAAAACCCAGAAACTATAGAAAAATATGGGGGATATTTTTATTTGTGTGTATTTATTTGTGTGTCCTGGGGCCCCTTCAGGTTTGATGATTTCAAGTTTCGCCCCCCAGGGCTCCCCTGTGAACGTCGCGGTGGGCAGCAGCTTGCCGGTGTGACGAGGCAGCGGTTGAATTCCCACGGGCCCGATCCCGATCCCGATCGTCCCTCCCCACTTTCCTCGTCCTCCTCCTGCTCCTCCTCCTCCTCCTCCTCCTCCTCCTCCTCCTCCTCCTCCTCCCCCCTCCTTTTTTCTTTTTCCGCAAGCCTCCTTCTCCTCTATCTTTTTTCCTTGTGAATATAACGCTTCCCTGTCGCACTCCCAGACGCGTTGGTAGGGCGGGCCGTGCGTTTGGCCTCAGACATTTCTTAGCATCTCTGATCCTGGGGTTTGGAATTGTGAACAGCTTCAATAATGGAAGGCGGGCCGTTTTCAAAATGTTGCTCTCGTTTTGGCGCCGCGCACATTCGTTTTAAACACTTGTAGCAGTTTCAAAGGTGACGGGGGATTTTTTCAAAATGCGATTCTCGTCCAAGCGCCGCGGACATGTGTCGTTACAGTTTGCAGAATCTTTTCGGGTCGTTGGATTTGAGTTTTGGCACGATTTAGGATTGCCAGGGCGCAACAGTTAGGTCGATTCGCAATGTTGAAGACTCACGCTTGTGGATTCTCAGACGGTTTTCTTCCAACGGGGCACCTCCCCGCAATGAACATCAGTTCTTGTAGGGACTTCTGAAGAAGGGGGCTTGGTGGAGTATTTAATGCACCATCTTGAAAGGGTTTTGGGTTTGCAATGGTCCTCTTGCTCCTCCTCCCTCTTCCTCTGCCTCCCCTCTCTCCAAAACCTCCTCCTCCTCCTCCTCCCTCCTGTACCTTTTCCCCCTTCCCCCCCCCGCCCTCCTCGCCTCTCTCCCTCCTCTTTTTCTTTTTCCTCCTCCTCTTCCTTCCATCTCCTCCTCCTCCTCTTCCTCCTCCTCCTCCTCCTCCTCCTCCTCCTCCTCATGTCCTCTCCCTCCCAACTCGGGAGACCTCCTCCTCCTCCTCCTCCTCCTCCTCCTCCCCTTCCTCCTCTCCCTCTTGCGCCCCCTCCTCCCGCTCTGGGCGGGCGGACCTCCCCGTTGCCGCGGTCTCTGCCGCCCCCCGCCGTCCTGTATAGGTGTAGCGCGACGCCTGTTGCAAGAAGGCTTGCGGCGGCCAGTTCCGAAGACCACAACAACGACAACCTTGGCACCGCTCGGATGAAAACGACCATCCCCAACCACTTTCGACGGCCAGTCCTGCTCGAAGAGCCTCGGCATGGGCGCCCAAGGCCCCTGCATCCTTACCGCGCGTCCTTATGATCAGTTCTGACTGTATACTCCCACGCGGCCCCCTTCAAAGAGGTCCGGCGTCATGCGTCGCATCGGCGGGGGTCTGTCCCCGCGTCTCGAGTGTTGGCACCGCTCGGACGTGTGAATCTTTTTCTCGGCGAGGACCATCGAGGAGCACCCTGGACCACCTGGCAAAACATGGAAAAGAAGCACGCACGCAGCCAAAACAGTTCACGGGGAATGGACGTCCGAGCGATGGCACGCAAGCTGTAGTTGGTCCGCGCGGATTTCTTTCTGCGGCGACTTGTGAACCCTCCCCTTGGTCGTCCAATCGACGCTGGGGCATCGAACTTTCCTGTGCCGTTGGGGCGTTGGTTACGGAATGTGCCCAGGAGGCTTCAGACCCTGGGGGATTTTGCATCTAATGAGGCCGGCAGTGAGATGCCCATGGCCGATCCGCGATTGGAGTTCCACCTGCTTCCAGACCCTGGATTCCTTAACCAATGGTTTCTTATCCAATGCCCTCACCGTGTGGGTTCCCCTGCTCCCTGCTAGTGTTTGAGATATTTGGCTTGCAGAGGGTTCGCATGTGGTTGCCTATTCTTGAGTCCGCGCTGGACTACCTCACCGCACCCCCAGCGCCGCCCCCAGCGCGCTCGGCGTACTGGGAAGGCATGTGGGCAAGCATCCCTCGTACTGCCTCTAGCGATCCGCGTGGAACTCCGGCATGCTATGCGACTGCAGTTTTTTGGTCTTCAACTGTTTGCTTTCAGACTCTGCAGGATTCATGGGACTCGCTGCGAACACTGCTTCTATGCTTGCTTGCGCCCCGTTCCGCCGAGGAGCAAAGGAGATGAGGATGATGATGAAGACGACGACGATGAAGTCGAGGATGATGAGCACGGTGGTGATGATTGCTGCTGATGATGGTGGTGGTGGTGATGTTGCTGCTGATGATGATGATGATGATGATATTGTTGCTGCTGCTCATGACGACGACGGTGACAATGACGACGATGGCCATGATGATATTGCTGATGAATAGGTTGATGGGGATGGTGATCGGGGTGGTGCTGATAATCGCGAGGATGACGCGGAGGTGGATGAGTTGATGATGGCTGTGACGATGCTGACGGTGGTGATGGTGTTCATAGTGGTTATGATGATGACGGCAGTGATGATGTCGATGATGCCGAGGCTGATGGTAAGAGGATGATGTTGAAGTTGATGATGACACTGCCGCCCTCCTCCCTCCTTGCCCCCCTCTCCTCTTCTACCCCCTCCTGCCTTTCGCCTCCTCGCTGCCTCCTCCCTCCTCCCCCCCGTCGAACCATCCATGGGGGAGAACCCGAAACCCGAAACCCGAAACCCGAAACCCGAAACCCGAAACCCGGACAACATCTCCGAAGAGGCCCCCGAGGCCCCCGGAGAGCCGGCGAGCACGCCCCCCCCCAGAGAGCCCCCGCCCTCCCGGCGCGCCCGCGCCTCCTCGGCGGGCTGCCGGGCCTCCGCCGCCTCGAGGGCCGAGGGCCGCGGCTCCTCCGGGGCGTGCCGTGCTCCTCGCAGGGCCGTCTTGGAGGCCCTCCTGGAGTCCGCCCAGCGAGGGCAGGGGGCTCTTCTTCTGGGCGCCCGACATGGGTACTCCAGATTTCGTAACAAAAGGGCGGGGGTCTCATGTCGGGGGGGGTCTCTTCCAGGCTGTCTTGGAGGGCCTGGGGGGGTCTGGGGACGACGTTTTGCAGGGTTCTCCCACGGGGGAGGTCTGAAATGGCTTGTCTTGGAGGGTCCAGACCCCCTCCCTTTTATTACGAAATCTGGAGTAATTGCGGAAAGCACGGGTGCGATGCCGAAGGACAGATGTTGTCCCAAAGCAACAGCGGCCGCTGTTGGGCAGGCGGCCCTCTGCATCAAGTGGGCACAGGCCGCGGCGGCGCGGACCGCGAGCTCGGTTCAGAATGAACAGCAACTGCTGTTGGGCATTGTGCCCATTCTTTCCGTACCCATTTCGTTCGTGCCGATTTCTGGGGCGTGCTTTGCTCCTCCCTGGATCGCCTTGGGGCTCTCTGGAGAGGCCTCCGGGCAGCTCGCCCGGCGAGGAGCGGGAGGAGGATCCTGCGGGGTGCTGCACGCCACACGTCCAGAGAGTCGAAGCTCGAGTGACGGCGGCGCTGCACGCTTCCCCTGCCCTACAGTGGGAGCCCATGCCAAGAAACAGCCTGCTTGCCTCCAGGGTGCCCTGGGTTTCTTGGTCTTCGAAGGTTCTGCTAGGACAAGCGTGATGCCCCCACACAACAATCAACGGACATACCAGGGTTTCAGGGTTGGGTTTCTTGTGGAAGTTTTCTGGTGGTCGAGCTCCTACTGTTTATCTGCGGCAGATGATTTCTGCGGCGAGCGAGGGGGAAGTCAGAAGGGGCGGGCCTGCACAGCAGGCTCGGAAGCCCCCTGGCCGTCTGAGAAGTTTTCTGAGCCTTCCCTGAAGGCGCAGGAAACTTTTCAGAAGGCCAGAGGGCTTCTGAGAAGTCCCGCCGCCTGCTGAGAAGGCCTTTTTCCTTCTCACTCGCCCCCCTCGCTCGCCGCCGAAGATTGCTCTTGGGAGGCACACCAGTCTGCCCCCCCCCCCGCCAACGGGGGCGGGCTCGTTCGGTCCCAGCCCTCTGGGGCGGGGTGTCGGGGGGTGGAGGATGGGGAGCGCTCCGCGGCCCCCTCGGCACCCCCGCCGGGCATGGCTTCGGAGAACTCTTTGGCAAACCAGGACGCAGAGAAACCAGGACACGGGAGACCAAGGAAACGGCACCCTGTGCTGCAGAGTCACGTTTTTTCAGACCCGTGCATTTTTAATTTGCTGCGCCGCAGGATTCGGGTTCGTGTCCGGGTTTGAGGGGGTCTTGCAGGCTTTTGGGGCCTGTGTCCGGGTTTATTCTGAAAGTGCTGCGGTGCAGTATTTTGTTCGTGCCGCCGTCTGGAAACACTGGTTTCGAGGGATGTTCGGTGTCCGGGTCTAGCGTGTCCAGGTCTGTGGGGCCCTGTGGGTGGGTTCGAGTCCCGCTCGGGTGGGCTCGATCCTTCGGAGCTGCTGACGAGCCCTCTTCCCAACACCACTCTGTACGGAAGGTTCGCGTCATGTCGAGCGGCGGCGGCCCCGCCGCCGGCGTTCCAGGTTGAACGCCGCTGGCGACCCAGAATCGGTCGATTTTGAAAGATCTGGCGCTTCGGAAGCGGTCGATCGTTCAAGGTTGAACGATGCCCGCGATGTCAGAAGCCAAGGCTGAGCTCGGCACGACGCGAGGCTGCCGTGGGCTTCGAGCTCCAGCACGCCCGAGACGATCCTGAAGCGCTGCGTACAGGCTGCTCGGTGCCACTCGGGCTGCTGTTGCTGCTTCGCTCCCAGCTCCGCATGCTGGTCGGCCAATGTACTTCGGGCGAAGAGAACTATGCACATGCACCGATCCTGGCAAGGCCCACCCTTGACCCAGGATAGGTGCATATGCCTTCCTGGCCAAGGCAGGAGGGCGTATGCACCGATCCTGGGCTCAGGATGGACCTGGCCAGGATCGGTGTATGTGCATAGTTCTTTCTCCTCTAGTACTACCCTCCCATCGCTCGAGGCCCATGTCGTTTCGCTGGGCCCTCGTCGCACGGGCCTTCCCGTTCTCGAAGGACCTCGCCCCTCGTGGCCCCGGACCGCCGACCTCGACGGCGGAGGCCCCGCAGCGCGCCCCGCGAGCCCCTGTGCGGCGTGGCCGGGCGCTTTCCGCCCACGAGGGCCCTCTCTCGGGAACCCGTCGAGGATCGGCTGGCATCGTGGACGACGATCAGTGGAGAGGAGGCATGTTGCCAAATGCTTTCCAGATGTCTA